ATAATTTAAAAAAAAAAAAAAAAAAAAAAAAAAAAAGCCAGAGGGTTTTGCATGAAAATTTTCTGTAAACTGTTTTTAGTCTATTCTTCGTTAAGTGCTCTACAGCTAAAAGAATTTTCCCCACATTTATTGCTTGATAACTCTGTAAAATGTAGATCATAGACTAATTGGTCTGTAACGAATAAATAGATGTGTATTTCAAATTTAGGATCTCGAGTAATACCGTATAGTGATATTAAATTTGATGAAGAAATTGGTATTGGTGCGAAAGGGACTGTTTACAAAGGGAGCTATGCCGGTGAAGATGTTGTTGTAAAGCGCTCCCGTATAAAAGAAAGAATAGATAACTCACATTTACTCCACCTGAACCACCAAAACCTGATAAAGTTTCTGTTAGTGCTAAAAAGTCGTTCACTTTTTTACAAAAACTGTCGGGTTGATTGCAGTTGTTTGTGAAGATTTTTATTTGTATGTACTTTCTTTTTTTATGCTTCAAAATCTTATTTTCAAAAATAAATTTACAGAGGAACTAGTACAACAGACCGAGAGTTCTTCGTTCTCATGGAGTACTGCGCTGGTGGTTCGCTGAAGGAAAAAATACACAACAATAAGGAAGATATAATACAGAAGTGTGAAATCGCTAAGTGGTTACGACAAATCTGTGAGGGAATGGCCTACTTGCACTCAAATCATGTGATCCATCGAGATCTGAAGCCTGCCAAGTGCTTTCTAATTTCTTTTTTGCTGCTATTTGGTTGCCTAATGTCAAAAAATGAAGCATTCTTTTTCAGCATTCTTTTCAAGAACGACTCAGAACTGAAAATCTGCGGTTTTAGCTGCAGCCGCGGGTGGGAAGAATCCAGGAGTGGATCTATGTCCTTTTGTGGCAGTTTCTGTTACATGGCTCCTGAAATGATGATGGGTAATGGCTCTCAAAAGGTGATTTTAGCATGACCGCTCTAGATTACTTTTTCTTTTTATGATATTTATCGTAGCGGTTTCGCTTTGAATATTATTTCTTTTCCTTGCAAAATTTCTCTCTGTCGACTGTTCTCTAGTTCAGCTAGATGTTTGGAGCTTTGGAGTGATCGTTTGGGAACTCATAACCAGAGAAAAACCTTATGAAGGTCTTAGAGCACAGCAGCTTTTCTTTCATGTTTTCTCACGGTTAGATTATCAAGAAATCACAACTTTCACTAGTTTTTAAAAAGAAAATAAGAGTTAAACTTTGCCTCAAGAGGTTGTCGGCTAATTATTAATTGCAGTAAGATAAAACTCCCTCTTCCCAATAGATCGTTACCAAGCGAAATAGAAGAGTTGTTAGCTCGCTGCGCTGAAAACTCCGCTAAAAAACGGCCGTCATTCAAAGAAATTATAGCAAACTTGTTTCCTGTGAGAGTTATTTTGAACTTGGAGTTGATGTTACTGTTTGCCATTTTAAACTTTATTAGTTTCTCTTAGAAAATTCAACAGAAATACAATAAGTTTGTGTTACAAGTATTTCAATGTTTTGAGTAACGAAGGGAGGTGTAACAGTTTCTTGAGTTTTAGCCAAAGACGAATTTTATGCAAACTAGTGAGGAGGAGTGGGCGAAGATGGTTGCTGAATGGAGCAGAGATGCCAAGAAAGAAATGAAAACAGATGTCGAGAAGGTGATGAATGAGGTTTGGAAAAAACTAGTACGATTTCATATTAAACTGGAACTTTCTAGCGTTTTTAAAACTTGTAGAAAAACTACTACTTTTGCTTGAATAGGTCTTATCTGTACCTTAGAGAAGCGCAAAACTCTACCGCCATAACATTTAAATTTTGAGAAACCGTTAAATTTTTTAGAATTTCTAAATAATGTAAAAAAATTTTTTTTAAATTTCTTTTAATTTACAGGAAGTTGAAGAAGAAAGTGAAAGTGAAATAGATGACGACTGGAAATAATGTCCGAGACGATGAGAAGTAGTAATGGTCGATAAGGAAGACAGAGAAGACAAAAGATTGCAGCTGCAATAAGAACATTTGCTCCAACTGTTCACTTTTTTAATAACAAGACACATTTGAGTTTAATTGTAAAATAAATACCGGCAGCTCCTCACTTACCAAAATATAGGAGTAGTTGTGGAAGTACTACATAAAAAAACCTTATAATATGCTAAAATTTTGCGCTGCCTTAGCCTTCTGTCTCATCTTCTCGTCTTTTCGTCCTTTTCTGTCTCAGTATAACACTCTTCATCAGACTTATATTTAAACACGGCTAATC